CCATCCCCTACCTTTCTGACCTCGCCTCAGACTGCTCTCTGCCTCGCTCACTCCACTGGTGTCTTTTCTGATCCTCAGACTCATAGGTGTGCAGCTGCCTTTGGGGCTTTGCTCCAGCTGTATCCTCTGCTTCGAATGTTCTTCGTTCAGATGTCCTTGAAGCTCATGCCCTCTCTGCTTTTAAGTCTTTGATCTAATTTCATCTTCCCTGAACCCTGCCCTGACTACCCTTCTTAAAGTTGCAAGCTCATCCTTTTTACTTTATTCTGTTTGCTTTTTCCTATATCATTTAACCACTTTCTAATGACGTATATAATCAATTTATTTACGTATACTATATATGGTCTGTCTTTCTCCCGGAAACCAAGGCTCTTTGTCTCCTACATTCGCTGATGTACTCCAAGGTCATACAGAAATGCTTAGCACATAGTGAGTACTCAATAAATATATTGGATCAAGGACGGCCATGCTATCTTACATTCTTTATACTCCACATAAGCAATCAACCTTGACTTGCCCTCAATTTTAGTTTTTTTGAGTGATTAGATACATATGTTTACCAAATAAACCAATACTTATATCTCTTCTTTCCTTGCTAAGTCTATTTAAGTTTATTTTAAATGTGTGACTAGGCAAGTAAATAATTAAACAGAATAAATAAAACAAAACAGTGGTGTGCTAGATTGTATTTCCTCACTGGGAAAAACTCTACTATTGGTATAGAATATAACGTTTGCATTTATTTTCACAAGTCATTCCAGAATTAAAGCTGCCACCCCACTGTGTGGATTATCCTCTCTTCATGGTGTCTTACTCTTGGGCAGTGACATCAGGCTAAGATAACAGTACTGCCACAAGATCAGTGGGTACCCTGCAGTGAGACCCAGTCACAGGAGTCAAAAAAGTCCTGCTTAAACTCTGAGAGCTCCTTGAGGGTAGGGTTGGGATTTGGTCTTTTTTATTCCTGGATCTAGGTACCAGGTGAATGAAGGACAAAACCAAAGATGCTGATGGTGAGGGCCTTTCATGACCATATGCAAATTGTATGGCAGGGTTAAACACTGCTTCCATAATTCTTCAAAAATATGACATAAAAGGAAGTGGACAATTTATTTCATTCCTACACTTCTCAGAAAGTAATTAACCTGGTTTCAGCCACTTGTCTCTAACAGGTATTTTGTGGGAGTCAAATGAGATGATGTATGTGAAAGGACTCAAGTTCTGTTTCATGTCAGAACAGTTTGAAACACCTGTTTCTTTTAAATTAAAGTATAGTTAATTTACAACATCATGTTAATTTCTGCTGCACAGCAAAGTAACTCAGTTTTATATATATATATATATATTTATATATACATTCTTTTTTATATTCCTTTCCATTATGGTTTATCTCAGGATATTGAATATAGTTCCCTGTGCTCTACAGTAAGACCTTGTTGTTTATCCATTCTATGTATAATATTTTGCATCTACTAACCCCAAACTCCCACTCCATCCCTCCCCTAGCTGCCCTTCCCCTTGGCAACCACAAGTGAAAGACCTGCTTTTAAACTATCAGAGAGCAGTGGCTTTTTATGATTCACACGGGATGGGTCAGATGTTTCCTATAGTAAGGGGCCTCCACTTCTCAACCATAGAGTTTGTAATATTCTTGCATCTCTCCTCCGCCTGTGCAACCTGGATTTTGAGGCAGAATTCTGATAGCGACACGTATGACATTTACCTGAAGCAAGTCACTTAATGTCTCAGAATCTCAATTTCTTCACTGTAAAATAAGAGTAATATCTCTCACATAAAGATATGGCCAGGATGGAACGTGGTAACGTATGTGAGATGATTTTGTAAAACTAAAAGCACTCGGTAAATAATACTTATTCTAATTAATATTGCCATCATTAATGATATTATATTAAATGTTAACATTGAGTCCTGGTCAAAGAGAAAGTTATAGAGTATTTTACCTTTTCAGGCCTTCTTCACGCACATGGATTACACACACACATTCCTAGTAAAGTTTTTGATCCACAGAACTACATACAGTAAGTGTAGAAGGTTGAAAGCTTCCAAAGCTGTTATGAAAAATCAGTCTTTGCTGTCAGCCCAGAAAACCACGTCAGTTTTTTTGCCAAATAACAATCAAAGCTGTAAAAATTTCCTTTCAGTTAACACTGGTTTCCATTATTGTTATTTGTTAGAAGTCTTTGAGGCCATTTCCTACTAATTCCACCATGCTTGGCATGGAGCATTCTGCTAAAGCTCTTAGTTGTCCTTGACTAATTGTAGTTGGACAGGGCAGAGAAAGTCTCATTGATAAGATTTTAACATCCTGCGCGTGTGGAGACTCACTGATGTAAAAGCCCAGGATTGAAATCTTCATTGTTTACACAAGCAGCTTCATGAGGCCTGTTATCAATTATATCACCCTTTGTACTGCTTGGTCCCAAGTCAGTAAATCTTGTTTTTTGAACAATGTGGAGTGGGGGGATCCTGCAACTAAAAAGGAGGTAGGGAATTTAAGAGACTTTGGGTGAAATTACAAAGATAATTTTAAAGTTTAGCAAAAAATTTGGAGTACTGAGATAACATAGACAAAGAGAATGATTATGACAGTAACAAAGAGAGGTTGCTTTAATTAAACTGATTAATGGATGGTTTAGATTGTATGTAACAGGAGGATTAGACTTAATATTTAGTTGTGGAAAAAAGGGCATTTTTATTGGATATATTCTTACAGTATCTTTAATACCTAGCTAAATCCTAGTTTTTCTTTTAAAGAGTTATACATCATATATTATAATCATTTTTATATTTTAAAAACATCTGAAAAATAACATAATTTTAGTCTACAGAACTTAATTTTTCAGTGAAAGTTTATGTCAAGAGATGTGGTGGATTTTGATTTTTGAAGGGGAGGTCAACAAATGTATACTATTTTAGAAGGATGGCAAAAATAATTGTTTATATTTTATATATTTTGGTTTAAAATCTTTCCTTAATAAAATGGAATTGAATATGGGAATGTGTAATCTTCACATTCTTCGCCACTTTGAATTAAAGAAAACAAATTTTGTTACTTATGAAATTCTCAAATGATGTTTCAATTAACGGTGATTTAAAGACTGAAGACGTCTATTCCACGTCTGTAGAAGTAGCTACTTCTGTTATAAATTACATTAACAGTCAGTAGCTTATATACATAAGATATTTGGCTGCTTCTGCTTTTCATTAATATGGTTTTGGAATGTCACCAATTCAGGAACATAATATAGTGCAAAGGCCTTGGGCTCTGTAATCAGACAGACCTGGTCTCACATCCTGGCAGTCTTGTACTTGCTGTGGGACCTGGGCAGCTCACTCAAATGCTGCTAACCCGACACCACAGGATTGTTCTGAGGACTAAATGTGATACACATATCAAGTGACTGATAGAGTGCCCGTGGAAAAGTAGGTGCTCAGTAAATATTAATTCTCTTCCCTTCCTTTCCCCCCATTTGTCCACTTGTGTTTTTAATGGATCATCTTTACTCTGGGTTGTGTTGTAGGAAGTATTCTGGATGGATGGCTGCTGGAAACCCAATGCCTTAGCCAGCTCTTCTTCAATACTTAAGGATTTACTCTGGCATTGAGTAATGAGAATTTTGGTAAGAAAAATTAGATAAAGATAGTATATGGACTTTTCTTTAAAAGGTCACTTGTATCTCAGATACTTCATAATAAGTTATATGGCTCGTCTCTAAATATTTTGGGAAGTCACAGAGGTACGTTCACATATGGATTGTTGTTGTTTTGAAAATAAGTAAAACAGGTTTTTAAAGTCTGTTAACACCCTGATGTGCCCTTCATGTTGTTGTAAATGTATTATTTCGCTTATCTCACCCTGTTTTGTTCTTTAAGTGTCTGTGTACTCAGTAAGTTGTATAGTCTTTAACAGGTCTGGGTGTTATTCATCCCTTCAGTGTAGACTACATGAAGCACATATTCTTAGAGGTTAAGTGGTTAAGTCAACACTGCTGTCTGAAACTGTAAAGGTTTTGACAATGTTAAAGAGGCAGGCAGAGGTATTGAAACTCTGAGAAGTTCTAAGATAAGTGATTTTCCTAAATCACCCAGAAAAATGATTATATATTGACTCTCAGGGTGGTATAGAGTATCTTTGGTTGGTTCCATTTCTATCCAATTTTTCTCCAAATGATATTAATTTTTAATTTCATCATCACATGAAATTAATATTATAACTAGTACACCTATATTAGTAATTCATGTTACTAATTTGTGTTGTATGAAATATGTTGGACATATTAGGAAAGAAGGATGAAAAGGAGGTTAAGGATAATAGAAACAAATTAAGCAGTAATATTAGCATATATGTAAATTAGTAAATATGTATATTTTCTTTAAATTATTGTCATTGAAATGCATCTGGAAAAATATGTATTGAAGAATTTTGCACATAAGAGACAGAGCTGAAGGTAGGGAGGAAAGCAAAAAAAGTAAATTCTAATTTCATTAATTCTGATAAGGAATTCTGAAATCTTGATATATTTACATTTTGGAACCTAAAAATATGATAATTTTAAAATTATTTTAAATCTCATTTTTTTCAATTTTATTAATTTTTTATACAGCAGGTTATTATTAGTTATCCACTTTATACATATTAGTGTATATATGTCAATCCCAATCTCCCAGTTCATCACACCACCACCACCACCCCCCGCCACCTTCCCCCCTTGGTGTCCATACATTTGTTCTCTACATTTGTGTCTCTATTTCTGCCCTGCAAACCGTTCATCTGTACCATTTTTCTAGATTCCACATATATGCGTTAATATACGATATTTGCTTTTCTCTTTCTGACTTACTTCACTCTTATGACAGTCTCTAGACCCATCCACGTCTCTACAAATGACCCAATTTTCTTCCTTTTTAACTAAAAAATTTTTAACTAAAACATTTTAACTAAAAAATTTAACCACTTTGTCTATGATTATATTTTTCAGAAACCATATTTGAGAAGTACTTCCATCCAGTGCTACTTGTGTTTACTTCTGAACAGTCATTTTTTAACTGAGGCTGGCATTCATGTCTTCATTTTGGGGTAATTTTATCTTTCAGCATAAAATCATCATGTTAATAACCATGATCATTGTTCTTCAATATCTTCTCTATTAAATTGGTTTATGTTCAGTTTGCTGAAATCCTTAGGTACTCAGTATTTGGGGCATGACAGAGGACAGATTATGGGAGATTCAGAGGAGGTTTGGTAAACAGCCTACAGAGCATTTCTATATTCTTGTAATATTCCAAATGAGTATTATATCCTGCAAATAAATTGGACTTCTTGGTATCTAACTAAAATTGGAAGTACACTCTTTATTAATATCCTGTGTGATTTTCACACCAGTAAAAAAAAATTAGATATTGAGGGCTCACCCACATTACTTTTTTATCTGTCCCTGGCACTGACTTCTCCTATCATTTGAGCCTTATGTTAGTTAGCTCAGTTTAAAACATTTCTTTCTTTATTGAGGCCTTTTGTTTTTCTTCCTAATAAACTTTCATATTTTTCCATGCCTATTAACTTTTTTCTTCTCTGTTAGATGTAACTAATACACGGCACTCACCCAACCTATAGTTATGTAATCTCTCAGTTCAGTTTTACTCTATAATGCCTTCATGCTGTGGGGAACCATAGATTTGTGCAGGTAAATCCTCCTCTCAAAAGAAAAAAAATAGTATTGGCTCTCATGCTTCTGTACAGGATCCATCAAGGAGAGACTATTTTTCCTGAAGCTCTAAGAATTATTCTACAGTTACTTGGTCAATGTGTGTGTCTTTTGTCCTGATACTAAGTTACTGTTTTATAAACAATAAGTAAGCTATATGATCTAGCTTTATGACTAGATTAGGCTCAAGTCCATAACATTTATGGAGAAAGCTGCTACAAGGAGCATGCAAGGGGCATGTTTAACCTATTGTAAAGAATATTTACTGTCAAGATCATTACATGAGAAAGATGATTGCTTATTTTAAGAATTTTACCCATTTATTAGACATAAAAGTCTGATGGGACCTCTACTTAAAGAAAAGTAATAATTCATTCAAAAACATTACTGAGCACTGCCACACATCATGCACTGCTTTTATTTCATTGTGATAAATTGCACCAGGTTATTTATAAGTCATCCCTTCAAATTAGGCTTTTCTTTAATGCAGGTTGGTCATCAGGCTAGCCTAAAGCATCAAGTTGTACTATATGTTCAGTTTTTATATTCATCTGCAAGGCTGTCGAATACACAAAGGCAAGGATGGCACTCATCTTTTCACTTGTTGGATTAAAAAAAGTCTTGATTGCTCTTTTGCCTATAGTATTCATCAAGACAATATTATGTTCATTCAAAATGCTTTGCTGTTTGGTTTTGCTTTCAGTTGTATCGGTGCAGGTCTTCCTAAAACAGAAGCAAACTGGCAGCATGTAATAAGTGATTTGAAAAGAATTGAAGATCTTATTCAAGTGAGTACTCATTTTTCCATAAAATATCTGGTATAATTGCTATGCAGTATGTTATTCCTTGTGTTTTGCTGTCAATCTTAGTGAAACCTCACTTGAAACAAAAATGTTTCTGTAGAATTGGTGAGCCTCGTAGCACCTCAAATGAACTCCTTTATTTAGAATTTTCAGACCCTAATTATCTTTAAAACTCAGTTTATGAGTGGCCCAGCATGAAGAGCTCTCCGTCACCACCCGCCAGAGAGACTCCCTTTTCCTACCCAAGAAACCAGGCGGCTTTGGGGCCCTTGTGGGGGGAATGGCCTGACTCAGGGAAGGGCTGTCTATTCCATGGGCTAGAGAATGCTTCTCCCACCTGGAGACACCAGCTGACCTGGCAGAACCTGTAGAGGGGAGAAATATGGGCTGTACTATAGTGTGGGCGATACAGCAGGGACCAGTGAGAGTCCCAGGTCAGCAGGTGTACCAAACCTTTCAAATTAGCACCACAAAGAGTCTGAAAACTGAACCATCATTGGAATCACAGCATGCAAACATAGGTCAGAACCTCTATGCTAAGCCTACACAGGGTGGCTGCATGTTAAAACAGAAGATTCAAATTGGACCAGGGTCTCCTGACATAATAGCCCAAATACCAGAATACAATTGAAAAATCACTTTTCATACCAAGAAGCAGGAAAAATCACAACTTGAATGAGAAGAGACTCGGAAACAGACTCTGAAACTGAGATGGATTAGATGTTGGAATTGTTTGCCAAGGATTTTAAAACAGGTATCATGAAGATGTGCCAGCAAGCAATTATGAATATCCTTGAAACAACTGAAAAAAAAAAAACAAAACCAGAAAGTCTTAGCAAAGAGATACAATATGTAAAATGCACCAAATGGAAATTACAGAACTAAGAAATACAACAAGTGGAATATGAAACAAACTGGAGAGGCTCATTAGCAGAATGAATATGACAGAGGAAAGACAGTCAACTTGAGGATAGGATAATAGAAACAAAATAGACTGAAAACAAAGCAAATAAAGCCTCAGGGATCTTTGGGACAGTAAAAGATCCAGCATTCCTAGCATTCTCATCCTAGAAGGAGAGGAGAAAAAGAATACAAATAAAAGACAGAGATTGGCCAAATTGATAACAAAAGACAAACCAACTTTATGCTGTCTACAAGGAATTCACTTCAAATATACATGTATATACAAATATATATACATATATAATATGTATACAAACATACACATATAATGTGTATATATAATATATATACAAATATATACATATATAATATGTATACATAATATATACACAAATATATACATATATAATATGTATATATATAATATATATATATATATATAATGACATAAGTAGGTTGAAATTAAAAGAAGAGAAACCCATGCTGTAGTGGGTTGAATAATGTCCCTCCAAAATTCATGTCCACCTAGAACCTCAGAATGTATCCTTATTTGGAAATGGGGTCTTTGCAAATATAATTAGTTAAGGTGAGGTTATAGTTGAGTGGGGTGGTCCCAAATCTAATGACTAGTGTCCTTATAAGAAGAGGACAGGATACATAGACACAGGGAAGAAGGCCGTATGAAAACCGAGGCAGCTACAAGCCAAAGGAGATTGGAATGATACAGCTACTAGCCAAGGAAGGCCAAGGATCCCCTGGAGCTGCAAAGGGTTTGGGAGCCATAAGGAAGGACAGTTCTCTAGAGCCTTCAGAGGGAACAGGCCCAATTGACTCCTTGGCTTTGAACTGTAAGTGAATGAATTGTTGTTTGAAGACACTTACTTTGTGATACCTTGCTACAGCAGCTCTAGGAAACTGAGGCACATGCACATAATAATTCACACAGTAATTTTAAAAATCAGAAGTGGCTATATTCAGATCAGATAATGTAGACTTCACAGCAAATAAAGTTACTAGAGTCACGAGAGACATTACATCATGGTAAAAGATGAGCCCACCAGGAAAACATAATGATCTTAAATGTGTACCTACCAAACAGCAGAGCCTCAAAATGTAAGAAGCAAAAACTAATAATAGAACCGACAGGTGAAGCAGATGAATCCATAAATATATTAATAGTTGACTTTAGTACCTCCTCAGTGACAAATAGAACTACTAGACAGAAAATCAGACAGGATATAGAAGAACTGGATGACACAGTCAACCAACAATATCTCATTTCCATAGAAAAATACTTCATCCAACAACAGTGAATAAACGTTTTTTTCAGGCAACACTCACCAAGACTGAACATACCCTGGGCCATAAAACAAACTTTAGCACATTTATCAGAACTGAAATCATGCAGAATATGTTACCCAACCACAGTGCAATCAAGTAGAAGTCAATTACATAAATACAACCGGAAAATCTCCAAACACTTGGAAATTAAATGAGACACTTATAAACATTCCATGGGTCAAAGAGCAGGTCTCAAAGGATATTTAAAAATATAGAACTGAATGGAGACAAATATGCAACATAGGAAGTTTTGTGGGATTTAGCTAAAGCTTTACTTAGTGGGAAATTGATAAAACTAAATGATTACCTTAGAAAAGAGGAAAGATCTCAGTTTACCAAATCTAAGTTACTGTCTCAAGAAACTGGGAAAAGAGCAAAATAAGCCCAACACATGCAGAAGGAAGGAAGGAATAAAAAGGAAGGAAGGAAGGAAGGAAATTGAAATCAGGAAAACAATTAGACAAAAATCAACAAAACATAAAGCTCTTTACTTTGGGAAAATAAATCAATAAAGTCGATAAACCTTTAGAAAGCCTGACAAAGATAAAAGAGATGACACATACCATTAGTATCAGGACTGAAATTGGGGTCTTACTACAGAACCTACAACCATTAAAAGGATACGAAAGAAAAACTATGAACAACTTTATTCTCGTAAATTTGATAATTTGGAGGAAATGGACAATTTCCTCAAAAACCACAAACTACCAAAATGTAACAAACGCAAGACCTGTTCAGCATTCGAAAATCAATCAATGTAATCCACTATATGAGTAGACTAAAGTAGGAAATCATATGATCATATCAATTGATGCAGAAAAGACATTTTAAAACTGCAGCACCTCTTCAATGATAAACATGATAAACATTTCTCAGCAAACAAGGAATAAAAGAGAAGCTCCTTCAGTTTGTTACAGAGCATGTACAGAAAACCTAGAGCCGACATTAGACTTAATGGGGACTGACTGCTTTTCCCCTAAAATTGGGAACAAGGCAAGGATGCCTTTTCTTACCACTCTTATTCAACATAGTATTGAAACTTTAGCTCAGTTGGCAAGGCAAGAAAAAAAGAAATAAAAGGCTAAGGCAAGAAAAATAAATAATAAGTATGAATATTAGAAAGGAAGAAATCATAAATCACCCTAAGTCTCTTTTGGAGAGAAAGTACCAATAAATGGCTGTATTTTATTTAGGGAATGCAAATTAAAGCCTCAATGACATGTCACCTATATGAATATCTAAAATAAAAAATATTGATAATACCAAATGCTGGCAAGGATGTGGAGAAACTGGATCATTTATATATTGCTGGTGAGAATGTAAAATTGTACAGCCACTCTAAAATAGTTTGGCTGTTTCTTATAAAACAAAACACGCATTTGCCATATGATCCAACAGTTACACTCAAACATTTATATCAGAGACATGAAAACTTGCATTCACACAAAAACATGCATATGAATGTTAATAGAACTTTATTTATGATAGCTAAAAACTGGAAAGAACCCAAATGTCCTTCAACAGGTCAACAGTTAAGCTTCGGTACATTATATCGAACAATAATAGTGAGCAGTAATAAGGAACAAATTACTGATACAACAAGTTGTGTGGATCTCCAGAGTATTATGCTGTGTGAAAAAAAGCCAGTGGGGTAAACAAACTGTAGTTCGTCCATACAATGGAATATTACTCAGTGATAAAAAGAAATAAGCTCTTTAGCCATGAAAAGGAATGGAGGAACCTTAAGAGCATATTGCTAATGAAAGAAGCCAATCAAAACAGGCTACATACTATATGATATGATACTATATGACTCCAACTATATGACACTCTGGAAAAGGTTGGATACAATACAACAGGGGATAAGGGAAAGGGAAGGATAAAAAAGTGGGGCACAGGTGATTTTTAGGGCAGCGGAACTATTTTGTATGATACTGTAATGATCAACGCATGTCATTATACATTTGTCAAGAACTATAGGTGTGCACCACCAAGAGTGAACCCTGATGGAATCTATGGACTTTAGTTGAAAATGTATCAATATTGACTCATCAACTGTAATAAATGTACCACGCTAATGTGAGATGTTAATAATAGGGGAAACTTGGGAGGGGGCCAAGGGGCCATATGGGAACTTTCTGTACTTCCTGCTCATGTTCTGTAAACCTACGACTGCTTAAAAAATAAAGTCTATTAAGTTTTTCAATAAGCCTATTTCAGAGGGTTATATGCTGTATGATTCCATTTATATAACATTCTTGAAATGATATCATAGGAATGGAGAGCAGAGAAGTGGTTGCTGGGGATTCGATGGATGGTAGGAGGTGGGAGGAGCATATCTGGAGGAAGTTGATTGTGGCTATACAACAGTAGCAGGAGGATTCTGTATCTTAACTGTGATAGTGGTTACGTGAATTTACACCTCTGATAAAATGGCATGGAACTACACACACACGCACACACACACTAGTGCACATAAAACTGGTGAAATCTGAACAAAGTGGGTGGATTGCATCCATGTCAGTTTCCTGGTTGTGCTATTGTACTGTGTTATGCAGGACCTCAACACTGGAGGAAACGGTGAAGGCGCACACAGGATTTGCCTGTATTTTCTCTTACAACTTCATATGAATCTAAGATTATCTCAAAATAAAGAATTTCACTGAAAAGTTTTAGTGTTTTCAGTAGGTTGTTCTCATTATATCTAAAGCGGGAATAGTTTTTCATATTACCGAATTTTGTTTCCATTTCAGTCTATACATATGGATGCTACTTTATATACTGAAAGCAATGCTCATGTGAGTATAGCTTGTTTTTAATATTGCTATATTTTCCAATTTTCAAAGGTCTAAGAAGTATATTTTCATAAGTTTACTGGACTGTGTATAGTTTTAAAATCTAACTTTTACATAGATGCTGTTTTCATTGTAGCATCATTGCCAAATCAAAACATAAACTTTTCCCATCAATGTCAAACAAAATATAGTATATATTTCTGTGATGCAATTAAATCATGATGCAGTTAAATACAAGAATCGAGTTAACTCAGGCAATTTAAAAGTATCCAATATATCAGTTGTTTCCAGTGCTGTAGCATATTATCACTTTTCATCATATTTTTTACAAATTGTTTAAATACATTCATGCTCTACATTTTGCCTGAATCTCTACCGTTGTCAAAAAGGGATTCTGACTGGTTACTCTCCATGTGAGAAAAAAACCAAACACAACCCACAAAGTCTATCAGAATTCAAAACTGATCTCGAACTTGTTTCATTAATATGCTGCTGACGTTGCCTTAGTCATATAGGATTTCAGTTGAGTTGCTATTCCTTTCCCTCTGAATTGGCTACAAAAAACCAAGAAACAAATCCCTGAAATCTTCACTTCGTGAAAAACAAACTGTGTTGTGTGCATTCAGAACAGTGAGCCCTCTCTCTATTATTCCTTAAGTAGAATTTCTCTGCAATAGAAGGTTTTGCACTATCAAGACTTTCTAAGCATTGGAAAGAAGCCACAGCCAGAAACTGGAAAGAACAGATACCCATCATTCACTTAGATAGTGCTGCCATGCTAGAAATTGCTTCCCTCTTTTGGCTCCAGCATGTTTTCCACTTTTCTTTGCATTTTCTTCAAAGTAGAAAGCAGTCAGCTAACCACCAGCACTCCGAATCCTGAGATTGCTTTTTTTGTAAGACGATAACCTCGCAACCCGTGGGTTGTCGAAAGTAGTTGAGATTGAAATTTAGATTTAAACCCTGACTCAGCCACTTCCAAGCTTTGTTACCTTGGAAGACACTAAATATTTCTGAACCTCAGTTTTATTATTTATTTTATTTATTATTTAGTTTATTATCGACATGGTGACAGCATTTATTACCCTTTCAATCCAGAGAAGCTGCTGTGGGGGAATAAGGAACATTGCTAGTCCCAGGCACATGGCTGTCATCCTTCCTTCTTCCTTCCTTGCTTCCTTCCTTCCGTAAGCACCTGTTAAGTGCCTGCAGAGTCCCAGGCACTGTGCATGACATTGAGAACAGGAAATCAGACACGTCGTGGTCAAATTCCCACATGCTCATTAAATGCTTCTTTTGTTTGAAGTTTAAGTTTTTGTTAAAGTAATCCTCTTGGGAAATGTATTTTTGTGGGACCTGAAAGGTACCTTTCTGATATGGCCAGCCTGTGAATAGACCATACACCTGCTTTGATTTTTCTAAGAAATTTCTTGGAATCACGTCTGCCTCTGGAACTTTGGAACTTGCAGGAATAGTATGATTAGCAGCCACCACTGTTTAAAATGTTAACAATATGATCTGATTCTAAGAAATTCTTCCATATGCACCATCTCTATTAATGTTCTGAGAGTCTCAGGTCAGTATTATCTGTCCTTTACACAGAGGAAATGTGCTTAGTGAGGAAAAAGTGGCCTATTATTTCCACGTTTTCTAGCTTTATGTTCTTTCTTCTATACAGTATCACCATCCTTCCTGTTTTGTTCTCAGTTTGTTTTGGTTTTGATATCAAAGCCAAAAGAGAAGAAAAAAATCAAGCTGCTTCCTGTGTAAAACTTTTTAGGGGTATTGTGTTTCTTTATAAAATAGCTGGATTGACTTTCTAAAAAATCAAAATTACATCTGTGTGAAACTGAATAATGGGGAAATAATTCTTTCTTTTTCTTTTTCAAAATGGTTCTTTGTATCTCTTTTAGCCCACTTGCAAAGTAACAGCGATGAAATGCTTTCTCCTGGAGTTACATGTGATTTTGCATGAGTCCAGAAATTCAGACATTAACGATACAGTAGAAAACCTTATCATCCTAGCAAACAGCAGTTTATCTTCCATTGAGGTGAGTTATCCAATAGTTATGCAGAGCTACATCAGATGCTCTTGGCTTGATTGGGAGAAATCATTAGCTGGATGGGATGTCATGGACAAGGAGACCCTCTGAAGGGGCACTTGGGAAAGTAAGTTAATTCCAGTGAAGTGGCATCTAGAAGCAGCACCATCGCTAGCGTGCACACACTCCTAAACTGTTTATTGATTTATTCATTCAACAAACATTGACTGCGTGCTCTAGGCCGTGTGCTTTAGTGCTGGAATGACAAGGGTGAACCAGACAGTCAGGTCACTGACCTCAAGGTGTTGATCACTTGGTGCAGTGGATAGACATTAGTCTAATTACATAATTGATGAGCATCCACAGTAGTAATCCACATTTACTTGGGTTATTACTGTGTGCCAGATACTGTTCTTCAAGGGTTAGATGGTAATTCGTTGAATTCTCGCAATCAATCTGTGAGATAGTTATCACTATTTCTGTTTAAGGTTGAAGGAATTGGGGCTCTGGGGGCTTGAATCTCTTCCTCCAATTCACACAGCTAGTAAAATGGGGAGCCAGGAGTCCCTGAGCAGTTTAGAGTCTCCCTTCTTATCTACTCAAAGAATAAATGCTGCAAAAGGTTAATAATAAAAATATTAATAATTGGAGTATAATTTGGGCCATCACAGGCAACAGGAGCAATATAGGCCTCCAGGAGAGCAAATAGCAGGGACCCCCTGGGACACTGGCTATGCAAAGGCCCTACAAAGGATTATGGCTTTCAGGGCAAAACACTAGTGGCCAAAGCAAAGTGATTAGAAAAAGTTTTATAAACCAAAAAAGTACAATCATAATTTGTTCGTTTCACAAATACTTTTTGGGCCCCATTGTAGGCCCTCAAGATAACAGAAGTGAAAGAACACACATAGTTCCTGCTCTTACGGAAGGAAGATGCATACAGAAATCAATCAATAAGCAAATGAATAATAAGTCAGGTGTTTATTAAGTGGAAGGGAAAAAAAAAAGAGGCAGGTAAGGCGACTGGGAATCTAATCTAGAGAAGGTTTACCTACTCAGCTGACATTTGGCAAAGACGTGAGAGGCAAAGAGCTTTAAGGATGCCGGGGAAAGTATGTTCATGCAGAGGCAACTGGAAGAGCAGACGCCCCGAGCTAGTGTGGCTGGACACCTTGGATTTTCCCTAAAAGTGCCAGGTGCTTCAGTGTCACTGTGTCAGTGATGTTACCTCTTTATAACCACAGCCACTCCCCCACCTCAGCACGCCCCACCCCCTTCTCTGTATGTCCCTCTATCTTATATACTACATATCTTACTTGATGGATATTGTCTGTTTCTTCCTACTAGAATGGCAGCTTCAGAGGGGCAGGGTTTTTTGTTTGTTTGTTTTCGTGCTATATCCCAACTCCCAGAACAATGCTTGGCATGTACTAGATTCTCGATCTATTTCTGAAATGAATATATTAATGTTTAAAATACTCCTGTGATATGTTATCTCTCTGTTATTGGTCGAAAGACTGACCCATGCAACAGATAACTCACAGCAGTGTCAATGGGGAACACTTCAATGTGCATTTTTATAGTCACTCTCATCATGACATAGTGTGGCTGGACTGCACAGTCAGAAGACCTAAACGCAGAGCATTTCATTGATTATGTCAAATGAGATGAGTCATTTAATATCTCTACCTTTCTATCTGACATAATTATTTTCAGGATCATATAGGACAGCATTATATGGAATACGAAAGCGCCTAGCATAGAGTATGTGCTTGATAAACACTGGTGAATCTGAATTTTAAATGCTTAATGGGTGGAAAATCGAATTTTGAATTTTGCTGGTACAGCTTTCATGGTTCAGATGATCCCTGAAAAGTTTAACTTTAATTGTTACATTTGCAATATTCTAGTTATTCATGAAAATGTTTATTATTTTTATTTCTTATTTTTTTCAACATCTTTATTGGAGTATAATTGCTTTACAATGGTGTGTTAGTTTCTGCTTTATAACAAAGTGAATCAGCTATACATAAACATATATCTCCGTATCCCCTCCCTCTTGCATCTCCCTCCCATTCTCCCTATCCCACCCCTCTAGGTGGTCACAAAGTACCGAGCTGATCTCCCTGTGCTATGCAGCTGCTTCCCACAGCTATCTATTTTACATTTGGCCACTCTCTCACTTCATCCCAGCTTACCCTTCCCACGCCACGTGTCCTCAAGTCCATTCTCTACATCTGTGTCTTTATTCCTGCCCTGCCCCTAGGTTCTTCAGAACCATTTTTTTTTTTTTTAGATTCCATGTATATGTGTTAGCATATGGTATTTGTTTTTCTCTTTCTGACTTACTTCACTCTGTATGACAGACTCTAGGTCCATCTACCTCGCTGCAAATAACTCTGTTTCGTTTCTTTTTATGGCTGAGTAATATTGCATTGTATATGAGTGCCACATCTTCTTTATCCATTCATCTGTCGATGGACACTTAGGTTGCTTCCATGTCCCGGCTATTGTAAATAGAGCTGCAATGAACATTGTAGTACATGACTCCTTTTGAATTATGGCTTTCTCAGGGTATATGCCCAGTAGTGGGATTGCTGGGTCATATGGTAGTTCTGTTCTTTAAGGAACTTCCATACTGTTCTCCATAGCGGCTGTTTAAATCCCCACCAACAGTGCAAGAGGGTTCCGTTTCGCCACACCCTCTCCAGCATTTATTGTTTGTAGATTTTTTGATGATGGCCATAATGACTGGTGTGAGGTGACACCTCATTGCAGTTTTGGTTTGCATTTCTCTAATGATTAGTGATACTGAGCATCCTTTCATGTGTTTGTTGCCAATCTGTACATTTTCTTTGGAGAAATATCTATTTAGGCCTTCTGTCCATTTTTGGATTGGATTGATTGTCTTTTTGATATTGAACAGCATCAGCTGCTTGTAAATTTTGGAGATAAATCCTTTGTCAGTTGTTTCATCTGCAAATATTTTTCCCATTCTGAAGGTTGTCTTTTCATCTTGTTTATGGTTTTCTTTGCTGTGCAAAAGCTTTTAAGTTTCATTAGATCCCGTTTGTTTATTTTTGTTTTTATTTGCATTTCTCTAGGAGGTGGGTCAAAAAGGATCTTGCTGTGATTTATGTCATAGAGTATTATGCCTATGCTTTCCTCTAGCTGTCCAGTTTTCCCAGCACCACTTATTGAAGATAATGTCTTTTCTCCATTGTATATTCTTGCCTCCTTTATGAAAAATAGGGTGACCATATGTGTGTGGGTTTATCTCTGGGCTTTCTATCCTGTTCCATTGATCTATATTTCTGTTTTTGTGCAAGTACCATACTGTCTTGATTACTGTAGCTTTGTAGTATAGTCTGAAGTCCAGGAGCCTGATTCCTCCAGCTCTGTTATTCTTTCTCTAGATTGCTTTGGCTATTCGGGATCTTTTGTGTTTCCAAACAAATTGGGAAATTTTTGTTGTAGTTCTGTGAAAAATGCCATTGGTAGTTTGAGAGGGATGGCATTGAATCTGTAGATTGCTTTGGGTAATATAGTCATTTTATCAATGTTGATTCTTCCAGTACAAGGACATGGTATATCTCTCCATCTGTTTGTATCATGTTTAATTTCTTTCCTCATAGTTTTCTGGGTACAGGTCTTTTGTCTCCTTAGGTAGGTTTATTACTAGGTGTTTTATTCTTTCTGTTTCAATGGTAAATGGGCGTGTTTCCTTAATTTCTCTTTCAGATTTTTCACCATTACTGTATAGGAATGCAAGAGATTTCTGTGCATTAATTTTGTATCCTGCTACTTTACCAGATTCATTGATTAGCTCTAGTAGTTTTCTGGTAGCATCTTTAGGATTCTCTATGTATAGTATCATGCCATCTGCAAACAGTGACAGCTTTACTTCTTCTTTTCTTATTTGGATTCCTTTTATTTCTTTTTCTACTCTGATTGCTGTGGCTAAAACTTCCAAAACTATGTTGAATAATAGTGGTGAGAGTGGAGAGCCTTGTCTTGTTCCTGATCTTAGAGGAAGTGGTTTCAGTTTTTCACCATTAAGAACAATGTTGGCTGTGGGTTTGTCATATATGGCCTTTATTATGTTGAGGTAACTTTGCTCTATTCCTACTTTATGGAGGATTTTTATCATAAATGGGTGCTGAATTTTGTCGAAAGCTTTTTCTGCATCTATTGGGATGATCATATGGTTTTTCTCCTTCAATTTGTTATGGTTTATCACATTGATTGATTTGCGTTTGTTGAAGAATGCTTGCATTCCTGGGATAAACCCCAGTTGATCATGGTGTATGATCCTTTTAATGTGCTGTTGGAATCTGTTTGCTAGTATCTGGTTGAGGATTTTTGCATCTATGTTCATCAGTGATATTAGCCTGTAGTTTTCTTTCTTTGTGACATCTTTGTCTGGTTTTGGTATCAGAGTGATGGTGGCCTCGTAGAATGAGTTTGGGAGTGTTCCTCCCTCTGCTATATTTTGGAGGAGTTTGAGATGGATAGGTGTTAGCTCTTCTCTAAATGTTTGACAGAATTCGCCTATGAAGCCATCTGGTCCTGAGCTTTTGTTTGTTGGAAGATTTTTAATTATAGTTTCAATTTCAGTGCTTGGGATTGATCTGTTTATGTTTTCTATTTCTTACTGATTCAGTCTTGGAAGGTTGTGCTTTTCTAAGAATTTGTCAATTTCTTCCACCTTGTCCATTTTGTTGGCACATAGTTGCTAGTAGTAATCTCTCATGACCCTTCGTATTTCTGCAGTGTCAGCTGTTACTTCTCCTTTTTCATTTCTAATTCTATTGGTTTGAGTCTTATCCCTTTCTTTCTTGATGAGTCAGGCTAATGATTTATCAATTTTGTTTATCTTCTCAAAGAACCAGCTTTTAGTTTTATTGATCTTTGCTATTGTTTCCTTCATTTCTTTATCATTTATTTCTGATTTGATCTTTATGATTTCTTTCCTTCTGCTAACTTTGGGTTTTTTTGTTCTTCTTTCTAATTGCTTTAGGTGTAAGGTTAGGTTGTTTATTTGAGATTTTTCTTGTTCTTTGGGGTAGGATTGTATTGCTATAAACCTCCCTCTTAGAGCTGCTTTTGCTGCATCCCATCAGTTTTCAGCCATTGTGTTTTCATTGTCATTTGTTTCTAGGTATTTTTTGATTTCCTCATTGAGTTCTACAGTGATCTTTTGGTTATTTAGTAGTGTATTGTTTAGCCTGCATTTGTTTGTATTTTTTACAGTTTTTTTCCTGTAGTTGACATCAAGTCTCACAGTGCTGTGGTTGGAAAAGATACTTGATACGATTTCCATTTTCTTAAATTTACCAAGGCTTGATTTATGACCCAAGATATGATCTATCCTGGAGAATATTCCATGAGCACTTGAGAAGAAAGTGTATTCTGCTGTTTTTGGATGGAATGTCCTATAAATATCAATTAAGTCCATCTTGTTTAATGTATCATTTAAAGCTTGTGTTTCCTTATTTATTTTCATTTTGGATAATCTGTCCATTAGTGAAAGTGGGGTGTTAACGTCCCCTACTATGATTGTGTTACTGTCGGTTTCCCCTTTTATGGCTGTTAGCATTTGCCTTATGTATTGAGGTGCTCCTGTGTTGGGTGCATAAATATTTACAATTGTCATATATTCTTCTTGGATTGATCCCTTCATCATTATGTAGTGTCCTTCTTTGTCTTTTGTAATAATTTTATTTTAAAGTCTATTTTGTCTGATATGAGAATTGCTACTCTCTCTTTCTTTTGATTTCCATTTGCATGGAATATCTTTTTCCATCCCCTCACTTTCAGTCTGTATGTGTCCCTAGGTCTGAAGTGGGTCTCTTATAGACAACCTATATATGGGTCTTGCTTTTGTATTCATTCAGCCAGTCTGTGTTTTTTGGATGGAGCATTTAATCCATTTACATTTAAGGTAGTTATCGATATCTGTGTTCCTATTACCATTTTCTTAATTGTTTCGGGTTTGTTATTGTAGGTCTTTTCCTTCTTTTGTGTTTCCTGCCTAGAGAGGTTCTTTTAGCATTTGTTGTAAAGCTGGTTTGGTGGTGCTGAATCCTCTTAGCTTTTGCTTCTCTCTAAAGGTTTTAATTTCTCCATCGAATCTGAATGAGATCCTTGCTTCATAGATTAATCTTGGTTATAAATTTTTCCCTTTCATCACTTTATATATGTCCTTCCACTCCCTCCTAGCTTGCAGAGTTTCTGCTGAAACATCAGCTGTGAACCTATGGGGATTCCCTTGTATGTTATTTGCTGTTTTTCCCTTGCTGCTTTTAATATTTTTTCTTTGTATTTAATTTTTGAAAGTTTGATTAATATGTGTCTTGGCATGTTTCTCCTTCGATTTATCCTGTATGGGACTCTCTGTGCTTCTTGGACTTGATTAACTATTTCCTTTCCCATATTAGGGAAGTTTTCAACTATAATCTCTTCAAATATTTTTCCCTGTCTTTTTCTCTTCTTCTTCTGGGACCCCTGTAATTCAAATGTTGATGCATTTTATGCTGTTCCAGAGGTCTCTGACACTGTCCTCAATTCTTTTCATTCTTTTTTCTTTAGTCTGCTCTGTGGTAGTTATTTTCACTATTTTATCTTCCAGGTCACTTATCTATTCTTCTGCCTCAGCTATTCTGCTATTGATTCCTTCTAGAGAATTTTTAATTTCATTTATTGTGTTGTTCATCATTGTTTGCTCTTTAGTTCTTCTAGGTCCTTGTTAAACATTTCTTGTATTTTCTCCATTCTATTTCCAAGATTTTGGATCATCTTTACTATCATTACTCTAAATTATTTTTCAGGTAGACTGCTTCTTTCCTCTTCATTTGTTTGGTCTGGTGGGTTTTTATCTTGCTCCTTCATCTGCTGTGTGTTTCTCTTTCTTCTCATTTTGCTTAACTTACTGTGTTTGTGGTCTCTTTTTTACAGGCTCCAGGTTTGTAGTTCCCATTGTTTTTGGTGTCTGCTCCCAGTGCATAAGGTTGATTCAGTGGTTTTTGTAGGCTTCCCGGTGGAGGGGACTGATGCCTGTGTTCTGGTGGATGAGGCTGAATCTTGTCTTTCTGGTGGGTGGGACATCACCTGGTGGTGTGTTTTGGGGTGTCTGTGACCTTATTATTATTTTAGGCAGTCTCTCTGCTAATGGGTCAGTTTGTGTTCCTGTCTTGCTACTTGTTTGGCATAGGGTGTCCAGCACTGTAGTTTGCGGTCATTGAGTGGAGTTGGGTCTTATTGTTGAGATGGAGATCTCTTAGAGAGCTTTCGCTGTTTGATATTACATGGAGCTAGGAGGTCTTTGGTGGACCAGTGTCCTGAACTCGTCCCTCCCACCTCAGAGGCACAGGCCTGACACCTGGCTGGAGCATGAAAACCCTGTCAGCCACATGGCTCAGAAGGAGAGGGAGAAAAAAAGAAAGAAAGAAAGAAAAAGTAAAATAAACTAAAAAGTTATTTTAAAAAATTTAAATAAAAAAGTTGAAAACTAATTTAAAAAAGAAAGAAAGAAAGAAGAGTGGCTCCAAACCAAAAAACAAATCCACCAATGATAACAAGCACTAAAAACTATACTAAAAAAACCCCAAAACCAAAAGAAAATGGAGAGACAGAACCCTAGGACATATGGTAAAAGCAAAAGTATACAGACAAAATCACACAAAGAAACATACACATACACACTCACAAAAAGAGAAAAACGAAAAAAAAATATATATATATATTAAAAAGAAGGAAGAGAGCAACCAAATCAATAAATAAATCTACCAATGATAATAAACTCTAAATACTAAACTAAGATAAATGTAAAACTAGAAACAAATTAGATGCAGAAAGCAAACCACAAGTCTACAGTTGCCCAACGTCCACCACCTCAATTTTGGGATGATTCATTGTCTATTCAGGTATTCCAGAGATGCAGGTACATCAAGGTGAATGTGGAGGTTTAATCCGCTGCTCCTGAGGCTGCTGGGAGAGATTTCCCTTTCTCTTCTTTGTTCTCACAGCTCCCGGGGTTCAGCTTTGGATTTGGCCCCGCCCCTTCCTGTAGGTCACCTGAGGGTGTCAGCTCTTTGCTCAGACAGGGTGGGGTTAAAGGAGCCGCTGATTAGTGGGCTCTGGCTCACTCAGGCCGAAGGGAGGGAGGGGTACGGAATGCGGGGCGAGCCTGCAGTGGCAGAGGCCAGTGTAACGTTGTAACAGCCTGAGGTGGGCCATGTGTTCTCCCGGGGAAGTTGTCCCTGGATGACGGGACCCTGGCGGTGGCGGACTGCACAGGCTCCCGGGAAGGGAGGTGTGGATAGTGACCTGTGCTTGCACACAGGCTTCTTGGTGGCTGCAGTAGCAGCCTTAACGTCTCATGCCTGTCTCTGGTGTCTGCACTGATAGCCACGGCTTGCACCCATCTCTGGAGCTTGTTTAGGCAGTGCTCTGAATCCCCTCTCCTCGTGCACCCCAAAACAATGGTCTCTTGCCTCTTAGGCAGTTCCAGACATTTTCCTGGACTCCCTCCCAGTTAGCTGTGGTGCACTAGCCCCCTTCAGGCTGTGTTCACGCAGCCAACCCCAGTCCTCTCCCTGGGGTCTGACCTCCGATGCTGGAGCCTCAGCTCCCAGCCCCCACCCACCCCGGCAGGTGAGCAGACAAGCCTCTCGGGCTGGTGAGTGCTGGTCAGCACCGATCCTCTGTGCGGGAATCTCTCCACTTTGCCCTCTGCACCTCTTTTGCTGTGCTCTCCTCCTTGGCTCCGATGCTTCCCCCCTGCCTCCCCCCATTTCCGCCAGTAAGGGACTTCCTAGTGTTTGGAAACTTTTCCTCCTTCAGAGCTCCTTCCCAGAGGTGCAGGTCCCATCCCTATTCTTTTGTCTCTGTTTTTTCTTTTGCCCTACCCAGGTACGTGGGGAGTTTCTTGCCTTTTGTGAAGTCTGAGGTCTTCTGCCAGCATTCAGTAGGTGTTCTGTAGGAGCTGTTCCACATGTAGACGTATTTCTGATGTATTTGTGGGGAGGAAGGTGATCTCCACATCTTACTCCTCCGCCATCTTGAAGGTCTCTCTGAAACTGTTTAAATTACTATAATTTGTGGTATTCATCGAAATAGTTGAATTCAACCAATAATAATTGGGTGAATATTATGTGCCAGGCCCTATGCTAAATGCTAGGGGAGCAAAAATACATAGCCTTGCCTTCCTGGAAAAGCCTAGAGAATAGTGGTATGAGAAGCATAAAGCTCCATAATATCAATATAATACATGAAGTGATATAAGACAGAGTCTAAACAAGAGGTTCTGAGAATGTAGAGAAGGGACATTTAGTGCAGCCCCAGGAGCTCCCAGGTTCAGAAAAGCCTTCCTAATGGAAAACAGCGCCTGAAAGATCTTAAGTGTGAGTGGTAGTAGCTAAAATAGAAGTGTGGAACAGGCAGAGAGAAACGCAAAGACAGCGAGGCACCTAATAGCCTGATGTATGTATGGGAGCTAAAGGCATGAGCCCAGTGTTCCTAGGGCATATCTTTGAGCTGTGGAAAACGTGAAAGAAATAGGTAAGGAACCGCTCAAGGAGAGCCTGCATGCTATGCAGTGAAGCATGGACTTCATGCTGGTATAGATGACCAGAAACTATTGAAGGACTCTAAACAGAAGTTCATGACTCAATAGATTATTTTTTTTTCAATTTTTTTTTCATTGTCCTTAATTCACTCTAGGAAAAATCAGCCCTTATCAAATCACCCATAGTTCTTCCTAATATGATAATTAATCTACCAACAAATTTATGTCTCAAGACTTCACCATATGGTTCAAATGATATGATATTTGCAGGAAAGGCATATTTTAGACTTTCCAATCTAATCCTTTCTTTTTATTTGCAGTATAAAACTGAATCGGGATGCAAAGAATGTGAGGAGCTGGAGGAAAAAAATATTAAAGAATTTTTGAAGAGTTTTGTACATATTGTGCAAATGTTCATCAACCCTTCTTGATTGCAGCTAATCCTTTTCAGCATTTCTGTTATTAACAAACATCTCCCCACTGCTTAGAGGCAACAACGAAACACTCAGCATTTCAAATATGCTGCCAAAATAAATTCTTCTGGCAAGAGGACGATCAGGATCTTTGATCGGATGAACTCACAGAAATGAAGGCCGAACAATGGCATTGAGTACCATGGTGTCTATGAACGAAGGACTTATTTTATTCATTTATTTTTAATTTATTATTGAGATTGTACATATTTGTAGCATAATGTAAAATGTTGAATAAAATTGTGTATATATTTTATCTTTTGAAATTGCACTGGTATTTTATGTCATAAGAAAATAGAGGGTGTTTGGTTCAAGGGTGATAGTCAAATTATTTAACAACCACTGGGGCTGGGCACCACTGCTGTAGGTAAAGAGGATGCACCAACCAATGTGGAAATTGACTACCAGCCTTCCTTTACTTCTCCTTTAGGTGTAGCACTTGGAGGGAGAATTGACTACCAACGAGAAAGGAGGAACTAGATGTGAGACCAGTATTGTTATTGATATATAAAGCGCTTGTTATGAGAGAGAGAATTTGCAAGTACCCGGCATGGAATGTGCACCAGTCCATCTCAGGTGGGGATGGCGATAATAAACCTTCACTGATAGGTGGGACTGTGTATCAAAAACTAATGATTGCACCGGTGTTTATATTTCATGCTTCCCCAAGTACAGGTATTTTATTTTTCCACATTGTATTTGCCATGTTTGTATAATAAAAAACTGCTGATGAGTTAAAGTCAACATGATCTGGCATAAAATAATTGTTTCTATTATTTTTTAGTATACTGTCTAAAATTTTCAAACTCTTTTCAAATGGAACTGACTGAAATGAAATATTCTCATTTCATCACAAATTTCTTTCCCCCGGTTCACTTCTGGCAGTCTTTACTGAGAGACTAAATGGCAGGAATTGATCTCCTAAGAACTGGATTTCTTTCCATTTCACAGTACAAACCATTTCTCTATTGAAACATTCTTTTGGAGTCCAGTGCCCCATCCAGGCTCACGTATCTCATTCTTTTAGTCAATGTATGCTTAAAATTTTCTTTCAAGATAGTTTTAGAGAAATCTGTATTCCATTTCACTTCCAAAGAGTCCTGTGTTTGCTCTCAGTTCATTCCCTGATCTCAGTCCAGACAAATAGTATTTGGCAGCCATTGGGATTGTACCAGTTTATTAAATTTCATTTGAAATGGAATTTTTGATAATGCAATTGTTTTGTTTATCGTATCAGAAGGTACTAAGCAGAAATTTTAAAAGTTAAAATACAGATTTTTTGATAATTATTCAATTAGAGGTCAAATTATTGTAATAAGTCAAGAAAATTTTACTATGTGCATTAAACCCAAATACATTACAGGAATTCTGTTTTTAGTTTAATCTTTCTAGATGCGAATAATAATGTCTAAAACATGACAATATATTTCTCTGAGATAAAAATAGTCTAGATGGAATGATGGCATTTGTAAACCACAGTCATGATCATGCTTCTACTCTTTTATTTTAGTTCTTGTGGTACAACATTTTGGTTCTTGTGGTACAACATTTTGGTCTGTGACTTGGATAAAGATAGAAGGGGTGCTTATCAAATTTATGGAATATGTAAATTATGTAACAGAATAAAAATTTACAATTGCCTCAGACTAGAAAGAAGTGCCAGTGTAACAAGATGAAACAAGGATATACAAAGAGTTCTGTACTTGGCCACAATAATGAACTGCAAGAGAAGGAATAAGGAAGATGCAGCTGGATTCAGCAAAAAAAGATTTTAGGGTTTTTATGCACTAGTAACTCAGTGTAAGTTGACAGTTTGATATGACTATTAAAAAGGCAATTGCAATTGTTGGCTACTTTCATATAAATATATTACTTAGGTCAGTATTTTTAAAGTGTGACCAATGGCATCAAAATCACCTGGAAGCTTTTATGTTTGTTTGTTTTTTGTCTTTTACAGTATTGAGAAATAATTGGCATACATCACTATATACGTTTAAGATGTAGAGCATGAGGTTTGATTTACATATATTGTGAAATGATTAACAAAATAGGCTTGGCTAACGTCATCTTCTCATATAGATACAATATAAAGAAAAGAAAGAAAAAAGAAAACAGGAAAAAAAAATTCTCCTTGAGATGAGAACTTAAAGAATTTACTCGCTGGGACTTCCCTGGTGGTACAGTGGTTAAGAATCCGCCTGCCAACGCAGGGGACACGGGTTTGAGCCCTGGTCCAGGAAAATCCCACATGCCACGCAGCAACTAAGCCCATGCACCGCAACTACTGAGCCTGCGCTGTAGAGCCCGTGAGCCACAACTACTGAGCCTGCGTGCCTAGAGCCTGTGCTCTGCAACAAGAGAAGCCACCACAATGAGAAGCCTGCACACTGCAACAAAGTCACCCACACTCACCGCAACTAGAGAAAGCCCGTGCGCAGCAACGAAGACCAAATGCAGCCAAAAATTAATTAATTAATTAATTTTTTTAAAAAAAGAATTGGGCTTCCCTGGTGGCACAGTGGTTGACGGTCCGCCTGCCGATGCAGGGGACACGGGTTCCTGCCCTGGTCCGGGAAGATCCCACATGCCGTGGAGCGGCTGGGCCCGTGAGCCATGGCTGCTGAGCTTGTGTGTCTGGAGCCTGTGCTCCGCAACGGGAGAGGCCACAACAGTGAGAAGCCAGCATACCGCAAAAAAAAAAAAAAGGAATTTACTCTCTAAACAACTTTCCTATAAATCATAGGTCAGTGTTAGCTAGAGTCATCATGTTGTACATTACATCCCTAGCACTTATTTATCTCGTCACTAGAAGTTTGTACCTTTTGACCATTTTCCTCTCTTTTTTTAAAATGGGTTGTTTTTAATATTTCACATAAAAGTGAGATCATACAGTATTTGTCTTTCTCTGACTTATTTCACTTAGCATAATGCCTTTAGGTTCCATCCATGTGGTCACAAGTGGTGAAATATCTTCATTTTTTATGGCTAAATAATATTCCATGGGATACATTGTGTGTGTGTGTGTGTGTGTATGTATATATATATACACATACATATATATGCCTCAACTTCTTTATCCATTAATCCATAGATGAACACTTAGGTTGTTTCCATATCTTGGCTGTTGTAAATAATACTTCTGTGAACCTAGGGGTACAGATATATTTACAAGTTTTTGTTTCCTTTGTATATATTTTTTTTTTGTTTTTTTGTTTTTTTGGTTTTTTTTGTTTTTTTGTTTCCTTTGTATATATTCCCAGAAGCAGAATTGTTGGATCATATATATGGTAGTTCTATTTTTAATTTTTTGAGGAGCTTCCATAGTGTTCTCCATAGTGGCTGCACCGTCTTACAATCCCATCATCTGTGCACAGGGTCCCCTTTTCTCCATATCCTCACTAGCACTTGATATTTGTTGTCTTTTTGACACTAGTCATTCTAATAGGTGTGGGATAACTTCTCATGGTTTTGATTTGCGTATCCCTGACGGTTAGTGATGTTGAGCATCTTTCCATGTATCCGTTGGCTTTGTACATCTTCTTTGGAGAAATGTTTATCAGGTCCATTGAACATTTATTAAATTTTTTTAAATTGAGTTGTATGAGTTCTTTCTTTATTTTGGATATCCACCCTGTTTCAGATATATAGTTTGCAAATATTTTTTCCCATTCTATAGGTTGCCTTTTCAGTTTGTTTGTGGATTCTTTTGCTGTGCAGATGTTTTTTAGTTTGATGTAGTCCCACTTATTTATTTTTGATTTTTGTTGCTTGTGCATTAGATGTCATGTCCAAAAAACCATTATCAAGACCCATGTAAAGGATTTTTATTACTATGTTTCCTTCTAGAAGTTTCATGATTTCAGATCTTACATTTAAGTCCTTAATTCATTTTATTTAATTTTTGTGTGTGGTGTTAAGATATGGGTCCAGTTTCATTCTTTTACATGTGAGTATCCAGCTATCCCAGCACAATTTATTGAAAAGAACTTCTTTTCTCCATTAAGTATTCTCAGCTCCCTTGTCAAATATTAGTTGGCTATATATGCTTGGTGTTATGTCAGTACTATACTATTTTGATTACTATAGCTTTATAGTTTAGCTTGCCACCTTATTTGTTCTTCTTTCTCTGTATTTCATTGGCTGTTTGGGGTATTTTGTGGTTCTATATAAATTTCAGGAGTGCTTTTTCCACCTCTGTAAAAAAGGCCATTGAAATCTTGATAGGGATTGTATTGAATCTGTAGATGGCTTTTGGTAGTATTGACATTTTAACAATATTTATTCTTCCAATCCATGAATATGGGATACTTTTCCATTATTTGTTTTTACTTCATTTTCTTTCATCAATATCTAATAGTATATAGAGTACTTTAACCTCTTTAGTTGAATTTATTCCTAAGTGTTTTACTGTTTTTGCTGCTATTGTAAATGAGACTGATTTCCTTATTACTTTTTCAGAAATTTAGTATATAGAAATGCTACTGACTTATTAAGTCTAAGTTCAATGTATGCTGTTCAGCTTAATAAATTGGATTGGTTATATTTCCCAAACAGTTTTAAAAGAATTCTCTACATACAGAAAAAGAAAAATTTTCAATTCAGATATAAACTACTATCCTAAAATTAAAATTAAGTAGAATTTAGATATGAACATGAAGAGAAATGGTACCAAAAATATGTGAAAAACCATTTTTATGATATTAAACTAATGTTTTCTCTTCAAAAATTACCATTGAAAATAAGGAAGGGTGAGCTTGTGTCTTTTGTAGAAACTTATTATATGATTTATTAAATTATATTAAGCTCCTGCAAGAAATGACATGTATGAGATGACTTTTTATTTGAATTTTTTCATTTTTTTTAATATCTTTATTGGAGTATAACTGGTTTACAACAGTGTGTTAGTTTCTGCTTTATAACAAAGTGAATCAGTTATACATGTACATATATCCCCATATCTCTTCCCTCTTGCATCTACCTCCCTCCCATCCTCCCTATCCCACCCCTCTAGGTGGTCACAAAGCACTGAGCTGATCTCCCTGTGCTATGTGATTGCTTCCCACTAGCTATCTATTTTACATTTGGTAGTGTATATATGTCCATGCCACTCTCTCACTTTGTGCCACCTTACACTTTCCCCTCTCCATATCCTCAAGTCCATTGTCTAGTAGGTCTGCGTCTTTATTCCTGTCTTGCTCCTAGGTTTTACATGACCATTTGTTGTTGTTGTCTAGATTCCATATATATGTGTTAGCATACGG